TGTGAAAATTGTATATCATGTGACACTTTAAAAGTATATTCAATTCTATGTTCCCTGAAAATTTTGAACCCTGAAATCTTTATTAATCATTGATCTATAACCTTAATTGGAAAGGTTAAAAAACTACAAAGCAATAAAATGACTTCATTGTTCATTATCATAATCCATCATTGGTTCGCAGAATGTAAACATTTCTATAAAAAAATTTTTTATTGTATTACGAGCAATTGATGATTAATAAGTGGCGTAATTAAAGTCTAAAACCTACCTATAATAATCTATATATCTCTTTTTTAAAATAAAAATTTTTACTAAAGTTACGTACACTAATAATTTCACTCGACTTGAAAAAAAAAGGCCTTATTAGAATTATAAAATAGGGAAATAGGGTTCAATTCTAATACAATAAATAATTTAAAAATAAATTTTTTTTTAATCACCCTATATATACATATATATATATAAAAAACTTTTTCTTTTCTTAGCTTAAAAAAAAATACATAATAATAATCTTCTAAAAAAGAAAGTAAAAAAAGTGAAATAGTTATAAAAAAATATTTTAAATTTCGAAACGTTGTGTATATACATATATTTAACATACTTAACATATATATTCCTATCTATACGTTTATCTATATAATAATATATTTACTTACATTTGATTCTTTTATATATAAAATTTAGGTGTTATAATATATATATAAATTTCAAAATTAAATTATACATATAAAAAACTGATGCTTCATCAACAGTCACAACAAGGTCAGCCACAAATTCAACAACAGCAGCAGCAGCAGCAACAACAACAACAAGCACAACAAGCACAAACTTCACAACAATTAAATCAGCATCAACAGCAACAGCAGCAGCAGCAACAGCAGCAGCAACAAAATTCTCATCAACCACAACAACACCAACAAATGTTGTCTACAAATCCTCAGGATGATAAAAACAATCATAAAGTCAAGCTTGATAATAAAAACGACGAACAGAGAATATTATTCGTTTATATTTACGATTTTTTAAAGAAAAACGGGGCTACTGAAACTGCTAAAGTATACTTGTCTGAAGTTGATATAACTAAACATTATAAACCTGTCGATGGTGCAAACGGTTCATCTGCTGCTGACAACGATTCAAATTCTTTGCCTGACGTTGAACTACCTGTAAATGCTCCTGAAGGGTTTTTATATGAATGGTGGAATGTATTTTGGGATATATATAGCGCAAAAGTTAAACAAAATGGTGGTACTGGTGAAGCACGTAGTTACATAGAACAACAGGTAATTCACTATATAAAAAAAATGAAAATGAAATTACTAATAATATTGAAATCATTTCAAACAATGATAATAGCTACAAATATACCAATAGTGACAGTAATACTGAAGCTGTAGTAGATATTAGTCATAAAGACATCATTGATGATGATAATAATATTAATATTTTGAATAATAATAATAGTAATAATGATAGTGATAATGATAATATTCAGAATGATCAGTTAATTACAATTAATGACAACAATAATCAGATTTCTATATCCAATTCCAGGAGCTCTAAAATAATTACTCATAAAGTAATTTTTCCATCTGGTGAAAAAGTTAATAAAATTTATCTATTAAATGATAATTAAATTTTTGAATGTAAATTTGTAAATTTATAAATTAGCATAATACCACTTACAATCTCTGATTCACAACTTGATTTCCACATTTGATTAATTATTGAAAAATTTTTTTTTTATTATATTAATATTAAAAATCATTTATTTCTTTACTAATATATATACTTTCATAAATTTTAGAAATTTTCAATATATAAATAAGTATGAATACTGTGAACAATTTAATACTGAATTATTATTTATATTTATCAACTTTAAAAATAAAACTTTATCCAATATAAATAAATCATTTTGGATTGTCTTGTGTTTTTCTTATTTTTGTCATTAATCTATGCTATTCTAAAATTCTTCACAGTAAAAATGAATAAGCAAAAGCTTTATATTTAAAGATTATCATCGCCTATAATAATAATAAAACAAAGGAGGGTTACAGAAACAAGTAACAATAAAACCTTATGTATGTAATGTACTAGTGAGTATAAACCCCCCATAAAACACTTGGCAAATAGTTTTAATATATATTTTACTTTTAGAAGCACAGTGATTCAACTGGCTCTCTGAATGTTTTGAATGTTTCTCAGAAAGTGGGGCAAACAAGAAGGTGGTGTACTAGCAGTTTATCATGATGTTTGTCCACTATAGGTCAAATAAAAGAAAAAATTCCCCTTAAAAAGCATGCTTTGAACAAATTAACGGATTTGAATGAGCATATTTCTAGATTGATTTTCAAACTGCACTTAAAAAATCGGATCAGAACCATTTTCCCAAAGTTAAAAAGTATCTGTTTTATTGGTGGTGTTAAGTAAAATCAGTTATTACAAGTACTGCAGAAAAATATAGCTAACTAGATGATTATAAATAATTCTTGTCATTATTTTTTGTTACTATTATATGATATATATCATCAATATATAATTATCAAATTGTCAAAATAGGCACTGCTCACAACAATTATAATGGTTATTGTCAATTGTTTTGTTTAATCTTTTATTTTTGATATAATGAGATTGATTTCTTCTTAAATTTGCTAAATAAAGTTAATATCAAAAACCTCTATTTCAGTTTTTTTTTAAAAATATTTTAGATATTCTGTTTTTAAGTAACAATTTAAAATTTCTAATGAAGTTTATCACGCACAGAGAAAGATTTTAAATAGTAAAATAACATTCTATGAAGTCATTATTTATTGCGAACTACTATTTAATAGGAGATTTTAATTTGCTAAGAAACTTTGAGCAATCCTCATTTCAAGTAACAAGAATGGCGGTAGCAATAAATCCAATATTGATTTTCTATATGATGGTGTGTAGTTGGAGGTAATAATCAAACAAATACTTGCTTTACTCATGTAAAAATTTTAATTGCACACCTTGTATAGATTTATTTTTTAATATTTGGAGAAATAGCAAAAATTTACATCAATTTCCTTATATAGAATATTCATTCTTGAAGACAACGCAGATTTATTTTTAATACTATAAATTTTTTAAAAAAATGGATAGTTTAATGAAACATCATCATAACTATTTAAAATCATTAAATTTATTAATAATAATTTTCAATTTATATTTATTAGATAGTTTCAATTTTTTGGTTTCTGGTCAATTATTAGATATATGTTGTCAAAGTTCAATAGTGTTAAATGATAAACTCTATTATTTTGGAGGATATTCTACAAGTTCAGGACGTACAAACCAAATAATTTATCTAGATTTATCCACATCATTTTCACTTAATCAAACATTACCAATAAAACCAATAGTTCCAAAATCAGTAATACCTCCATTTAGTATTGCATCATTAGCATTAGGAGGAACTAATAATGACACACTCTATGTTATAGCTGGATATAAAGGTGCAGCACCTGGTTCTACAGCTTATGGATCTATAGTTTATTCAATAAATACAAATCCATTTGATGCATGGACTCCAGAAACCCTAAATGGACAATTACAATTAAATAAAGTTGAAAGAACAAGATATACACAAGATAATAATGGAAACACATATATAGTCGCTTCTTATAATCCAAAAATATATAAATTCAATTCCAAAAGTAAGGTATTTACAACCTTAACATCAAGTAATGGTAGTCCATCTATAACAAACATACTTTATTTCAATTGTCATATGTTGAATGATGGAAATATAATTTATCTTAATCTTTATGAAACTAAAGTAATATTATAATTTATTCTTTTATTATTTAATTAAAATAAAAGGAATGAGAATATTAAATTTTCTAATAATACATATTCTGTTTAGATGTACTTGTATAATATTAATCAAAATTCATGGTCTAATATTGTAAGTTATATAATCATCAATAATAATATTTTCAACTAAAAAAGATATTAATAAATGGTTTGTTATATTAGACAACAGTTGGTGATGTACCTTCTACACGAAGTAGATATTCTTCAGTATTAAGTAAATTAATTATTATTGTAATTATTTAATCAAATATATTTTTTCAATATATATAATATTTATTTATTTTTAGCACCTGATGGAAGGATAATTGTGTATGGTGGCACTAAACAATCAGACAAATTAGCAATATTAGATGTAACAAAATCTCCTTTCCAATGGACAGTTCCAACAAATATTACTAATTATCCTGTTGATCTACTTGATAAAGATCATAGATACCATACTTCAAATTTATATAAAAATTACATGATAATCTCATTTGGTAACTTATAATAACAATTTAAAATTCCTACATAAATATATTATTTATTTATATTAATTTTATTTATATTCAATAATAATTATAGGTAGGACTGTTGGTATTAGTACTTACAAAAATATTTTATTGTTAGATATTAGTGACAAATATAATTATAGCTGGTTGGACACATTTGATCCTTTAGCTAAAATCATTACTAGCACTGTTAGTGAACCAACCACCACTAGTGCTAATCCTTCAACAGCTACAACAACCACCAGTGCTAATCCTTCAATAGATACAACCACCACTAGTGCAGCTGCTAATCAACAAACTATTGGTATAATTATAGGATCAGTTACATCTGGTGCAATCTTCATCATTGCTTTTATTTCTATTATTATTTTTTATAGAAGAAAAAAGAAATCCAATGAAATGGTTAATAATGTTGTTGTTGGTGATGATGAAAAAGACAGAGAATTAAATCAACAAACTCATAATGAAAATGAAAACAAAAATGAATTTACTAGTAATATTGAAATCATTTCAAACAATGATAATAGCTACAAATATACCAATAGTGATAGTAACACTGAAGCTGTAGTAGATACTAGTTGTACAGACATCCTTGATAATAATAATATCAAAATTTTGAAAAATAATAATAGTAATAATAATAGTGATAATGATAATATTCAGAATGATCAGTTAATTACAACTAATGACAACAATAATCAGATTTCTATATCTAATTCCACAAGCTCTAAAATAATTACTCATGAAGCAATTCTCCCATCTGGTGAAAAAGTCAATAAAACTTATCAATTCACAACTTGGTTTCCAAATTAAATTATAAAATATGAATTATAAGATTTTTTTAACTTATTTTATATCAAAGATGTTAATTTCAATAATATAACTAAGATTTAAATAATTATAATTAGATTAAAAATATTTTTAATTTTAAGTTATTTAAAAAATAAAATCTTATCCAACATAAACTTTGTTTTTTTATTTCATAATAGTTTGTTCAAGAGATCATTCTTGTTCTTCAAAGAATCAATTCATAATCATAAAATAATTTTTTTATGATGAAAATTAGTTGGTTGAATTTTATCAATGGAATAATTTCCAATGTGACACATGCTTGACTATATCTCTTGAAGGAAACTAGTTTCTCATTTAAGATAATGTTCCTAACCGAAAATCAAATTTTATGAATATTCGAAAATTAATTTATTTGAATATATATAATTTATTTTCGTAATTATTTTGGATACTCGTAATTATTTTGGATACTCGTAATTATTTTGGATATTCGTAATTATTTTGGATAGTAAAAATGTTTTTAATAATAATATTATCATTTTGTCCTGTTTTTTTTTGGTTTTTACCATTGACTTTGTTATGCATTTAGTTTTTTTTTTTGATTATACCATTGATTTAGAAAAGCATTATGTGTTTAATTAATTATTTATTTGTTTATTATGTTTATTTACTAAAAACCATTTTTTACTATTATTATCATATGTCCTGTTTTTTTTTTTGGGTCATTGATTTGTTTACTTTTAAGAAAAGCATTATGCATTTACAATTGAATTTATTATTCGGTTACCTTTTAATTAAATTGATTATTATTACTAAAAATAAAGCGTTGTGTGTTTAATTAAAATGACAATTGAATTGTTTATTTGTTTATTACTAAAAATGCTTTGATCACGTCTATACATTCATATTCCAAAATTGGATTGCAAGATTCGTAAATCTTGACTTTAACACTTACTTTGATCAAACCCGCCCATATAATTATTTAATAATTAATAAATCGTTCATTTTGCAAATTTGATTTGTAAGTTCATAGACCTTGACTTTAACACTTACTTCGATCAAGCCACCTATATAATTATTTAATAATTAATAAATCGTTCATTAAATATATTTTACAAGCAGCTTCATAGATCTTGACTAGCACTTATTTCGATCAAACCCGTCTATATAATTATTGAATAATTGATAAACATTTGTTTTGCAAGCTTCATAGATCTTGACTAACATTTAATTTGATCAAATCCGTCTATAATAATTGATAAAACGTTTATTAAATATATTTTACAAACAGCTTCGTAAATCTCGACTTTAACACTTACTTCGATCAAACTCGCCTATATGATTATTGAATAATTGATAAAGCATTCATTAAATATATTTTAAAAACAGCTTCGTAAATCTCAACTTTAACACTTACTTCGATCAAACCCGCCTATATGATTATTGAATAATAAAACGTTCATTTTGGAAAACTTGATTTGCAAATATATCTTGACTTTAGCACTTATTTCGATCAAATCCGCCTATATTTGAATAATTGATAAAATATTCATTAAATATATTTTGCAATTTACAAACCTCTTTGGAAGCTTCGTACGTCGTCATGCGTCTTGTATTTAACAGTTACTTCCACAAACTCGCCAACTATGCTTTTTCTATTGAATTATTTTGAATTTTAATGTTTTTAGATTACGCAAATTACACAATAAAAAATTATGGAATAGAATTTTGTCCAATGAAATGTTGTAAACTATATATACCTCATGCACAACTTGAAATATAAGGCTCATTTTCCATTACTAGTACTTGTCTCGGGGCAAGACATGTAATGGCGAACCCATGTGACTCACTTAAATGTGTTATTAAAGTCCAGCAAGTAAGAGAATGGAACTCTTGCTGTAACTCATGTTGGGTGTATGACCCTTCGTGACATGACCTCTCTCTTTTGCTAATTTTTATTTATTTTATTTAGAAGGAAAAAGA